CTGATACACAATGAGACATAGAATTTGTATTTGTATACACAATGAGACGTAGACTTTGTATTCGTATACACAATGAGATACAGATTTTGTATCCGTATACACAATGAGACATAGACTTTGTATTTGTATAAACAATGAGATGTAGACTTTGTATCCGTATACATACACAATGAGATATAGACTTTGTATCCGTATACACAATGAGATATAGACTTTGTATCCGTATACACAATGAGATACAGACTTTGTATCCGTATACACAATGAGATATAGACTGTGTATCCGTATACACAATGAGATATAGACTTTGTATCCGTATACACAATGAGATATAGACTGTGTAACCGTATACACAATGAGATATAGACTTTGTATCCGTATACACAATAAGATATAGACTGTGTATCCGTATACACAATGAGATATAGACTTTGTAAATCTATACATGTATTCAGATGTTACAGTGAAATTTGTTAATTATTTTGTGTTTTTGTATTGTTTTTGTATTACATATTCCTCTCACTCTAGAAAATATTGCCTAATGTTAAAAGTATGATTTATTAAACTTGTTTGTTGTTACTTTGCCGGTCATTACATTAGGTCCATTGCCTGTTAGTTGGTGGTTGTTTTTTTACTTTGTTTTGATTATATTCTTACTAAAGAAATAAATTGGCTGCAAAACAAACAAATATAAATCTCTATTACTTTAACATACTTCGATAATTCATGATCCTTCTTTTGTTATAATTAATTAATTAATCTTTTCCACATGACTCATGTAATTACTAAGCCTTAAGACAAATTAGAAATGAATGCTGAATTTCAAGTTTCTTAATCTCACATATTGGTTAAGACATGCCACAATTTGACAATTTTTACACATTAGGATCTGATGACCAGCAATAGTTTGTATCCTTCCATTTTTTGGGCGATGTGATTTCGAATTTAACCGCTGGAAAATCAATATTGAGTCGATAACAAACACAGCGTTGTCCATATAGCCCACATGTTAACTGGCAATACAATCTTGCCCATAAAAAAATGAGTTTATCAATTTCAAATTATTACTTCAAACATTTTTTTCTACCAAATTAAAGGCTTGAAGGGCCATAATGGCTTACGGGTTTGATATGACTTTTAAAATGAAGGTATCATGTTCTGGATGTCTTGAAGTTTAGAGAAAATAAGGCATCGCTTTCAGTGTTAATAGATTTATTAAGTACTTACAACACTGTATAATATTTTATCAAACTATTTTCCTGAGTATTTCAGTAAACTTTACACAAAAAACAAACCAAACAAGTAAAATAATTGTGCCATTTATCCAAAAATACCTCCGTTGCGCTGAGAATATGTCCATTTCGCTTGCATGTAACCTACCAAAACATAAAAATCAAAATCAATCCTATTGAAAATTACAACAAACATTAATATTGATATAACATTTAATATATATAATTCCTTTAAATTTGATAATTGTTTATGTAATTTGAAAAGTAACTTGCTTGAAATTCCTGACAGGCGGATAGTCATTGTAAAAGTTCGCTTTGTCTAGTCGAACTTAAAATATAGTTAACGCTCGAAGCCTGTCTTGAAAGGTAAACAACATGTTTCATAATTATGTACAGATAAAATTGCTACCTTATATTCAATATGAATTTACTGAGTATTTCAGTAAACTTAGATTTAATGTTGAATGTCTTAACGCCTTTTTAGCTATGCAACTTGGAATATCTATAAATGCTTGAACGTGTTCTTAAAAACTTTATAATATGAATGGGAAAAGATATGGTTTACTTAATGGTTTCTGAGTTGTTGTTGTTGATGTTTTGTGGGATTTTTTATGTGTGTGTGTTTCTGTGTGCGTATCTTTATTTATTTATTATTATTATTTTTTTTATTTTTTTTTGGGGGGGGGGGTTTTTTCTATTATTTTTTTTTTTACATGTAAAAAATATTATTATAGACGTATAAATAAAAAATCAATTTGACGTATGAAAATCAAAGTGACTGTCAATCTACCGGGGAAGCACACCAGTTAACTGTAACCTTTCTTCTCTTCCCGCCATTTCTTTAATCCATTTATTTAGGTTGAATCGGAATCACCCTTGTGCTGTTCGCTTTATTATTAACCCCAACTTGTGGCATTGGACCAATAACAGCTATAAATATATACAGTTTATTGGACTATATCATAAATAAATACATTACATTAACGTTATTTTGTTTATCTATTAATGAACAATAGAATTGTTGTAAGCTTATGTACTTTGGCAATGCACTTTAAAATTGTTCTTTAATGTGAAACGTCAGACGTTATATACATGTACTTACTGTATCATGATCATTGTAACAAAAAAATCGCTGCGAGTATCTGTACGCGATTCAGTGAAATATATTTTATATTATATGGTATACTGCCGATAAACTGTATATACATGCATTTATGTCTGTTATTGGTAAAGTTACGTCACTTGCTACCAACCCCAACCGAAAATGCATTTAATGACACATTATTGACTCTTTTACTGAATCTCGTATAGATAATTTATAGGAACATCTCGCGGTGATTTTATCTGTTAAAAGGAACATAATTGTAGTATTTGAAAAGACATTTTTTAATTGATTCCTGGTTCAATTATTAATTTAAATGATTATTATACAAACAGTATACAAATTCCTAAAGTTAAATGATTTTTTTTCGGAAATACACTCAGTGACACATTAGTAACGCCTTCAACTACAATCACTACCGGTTAAACACTCAGTGACACATAAGTTACGCCATCTACTACAACCACTACCGGAAATACTCTCAGTAACACATAAGTTACGCAATTTACTACAACCACTACCGGAAATACACTCAGTGACACATAAATTACACCATTTACTACAAACTTCTACCGGAAATACACTCAGGAACATATGAGCCGCGTCATGACAAAACCAACATAATGAGTTTGCGATCATCATGGATCCAGACCAGCCTGCGCATCCGTGCAGTCTGATCAGGATCCATGCTGTTCGCTATCAGTTTCTCTACTTGTGATAGGGTTGGTAAGCGAACAGCATGGGTCCTGATCAGACTGCACGGAGGCGCAGGCTATTCTGGATCTATGCTGGTCGCAAACCCACTATGTTGTTTTTGTCATTGCACGGCTCGTATATGTTACGCCATCTACTACAACCACCACCGGAAATACACTCAGTGACACATAAGTTACGCCATCAACTACAACCACTACCGGAAATACACTTGGTGACACATAAGCTACGCCATTAAATACAATGTCCATCGTAAAAACCGGTGTGTTGTTGACAGCCTGAGTATATTTGACAGTGTTTGAGAGACTAATTTTTGAACTTTTGTTTTGTTGTTTAACACTTACAGTTGGAATTATTTACTATTAAATTAATTAATATACATGGACTATTTAATTGTTAATCTCCAGTGTTATTTACCCTGTTCAGGCATTTGGAATCTTAGATTATGTTGGTTATCTTATTTTCTGGTAAGTCTCGTTGATTTAACAGTTAAATGAGTTATATTAATAAACATGAAAAAGGGAATTAATATCATTTAACATTGAGTCAATAATAAAACTGTCATGTAAGTCACAATTAATTAAATTTTTGTTTAATAATATTAGTGACAATGAGTTACTAAACTCCAATTATATATGTTATGATTGTTGTTGGCTTTATTGAATATTGTTGTTGCAATCTTCATGCAAAACATTTATTCTTCATTTGTTACAAGTTAAGTATATACTTTTAAAGGTATCATTTATTCATTATGAAACTTGATATACTATGCTTATAGCTGTAAGACATGGGGCATTATTTCTAAAGCTATATTTTTGGAGTTGTGTCTTTTTTTTACCGTGAAAGATTTGTCAAAAATACTTTAAATATTAAATGGAGTGATTAAATACCACCAACCTGTTGTTAAAGGATCAGTGTGCCAGCAAGACTGTTGCAAGACTGTTATAACTGGCTTACATGTATATCAGTATAATTTTGGTCATCCCTCACCGATTCCGGTAGTATGGCATTAGCTTGCTGAGATTAGATTTCTTGTTAAATTAATCAAAAGCAATTTTATTTACAAAAATCTTTTCATAAATCATTGATATTGTTTATTTTTTATAAAAAATAATGCAAGAAAAAACTTAAAAAGTTTATTTATAACAAAGTTACAGGTTGATTCCGGTAATTTATTGCTGGTTCCAGTAATTCAGCCAATTCCGTTAAGTCGTGTAACCGCTATTTAATCACTACATACAGATGTTATTGATAAGGTTTGGTAAATCACTAGATATCCTGACAAAAACATGAAAAGCACAAGATAGCTATTAATTTGTGAAATGTTTGTCAAAAAAATGAAAAAGAATGGAATTTTTTTAATCTAGATAGAACTAACAAAGACGGGGTTATGAATCTTGTCTGAATCTGTTTGTGAAGTCTTATTAATAAGATATTTTGCCATGGCATGGAGCTATAGAGCTATACAGAGCTATATTTTAATGCTATGACGTGATACAAAAATCTGTATCAAGGATTTATTATCACGTAAGTTCACATTTTTGCAAAATTTTTCAAACCATGTTTGACACTAGAAATTTTACTGATACAGTATATATGTACACTGCCAAATTATCAAAAATTTGTTATGGTAATCAAATAAGAAGTTGCAAAAATGTATAAAGTAAGTTTTATATATTAAGAAGGTGTAAATTATACTCTGTAATGGATGAAAATATAAACAAATTCGGTTATGGAAAACAAGATGGCAGAAATTTATCATTTCGAAAAGAGCCAGTGAATCTGGCGCAAAGGATTATGGGTCAGGATTTGAAAATGTTCTAATTTTAGAGCTTCTTATGTAATAAAAGTCTCTGCATGTATTAACCTTTTAATAGTTCAATTAAAAGTGCATAAAGATAGAAAATATTTTATTTTACAGGACATGTTTTTTTTTCAGGAAAGGAACAAAAGATGAAATTCAAATATCCAGTTGGAGAGAATACTCTTTTCTTATGATATTATAACAGACACTAAATTGTGGAAATTTTTTATTGATATAAAACAAAACCACTGATAATAGAGATACACTTGATACACTATTGTTGCTGTAAAACTTAAACATTGAAGGTTAGTAGTATTTTTTTTAATCAGTTTGCCATATTGTAGAATTAATTTGATGTTCACCACCACTGCTTTGGTTGAGAGGCAAAGGTTGCTGATTTTGAGTCAACTACACCTCACCACTATGCATCAGGGCTTAATAATACTTTCATGTTAAAGCTATCCAGCTAGTGCATGTAAGGTCTTTGGTTCTACTTTAGTAAATATTTGTGTCTGAAAATAATGCATGGAGAGGCACCTGAAGTCACCCTTCATCAGGAAAGTTTGAGTGTTTGCTAAACCACGCCTTTAATTGCAATTAAAGTCATTTCTATGCAGAGTTTTAGGTGTGTTTAAGGAAACAAAAGACATCAAAAAAATCTTTATAATTATTAAATCTATTTTACCCCAATGTAATGTTTTTAGGAAACTGTCACATGGTAAAGAAAAGCCGGATATGTATTTATGTACAAACTGATTGTAAGATTTCATTCCATTTTGTTTAACCTTTATTAGTTATAGCTATAATCTATATATAATTTGCGCAAAAGCTTTTGTTGTTCTTGCTGTACTTGTAAAATACATCAACTATCTTATCTTCTTATGTTATATTTTTGGGGGGTATTATTTGCTAGAATGAAGTGTGGTACAGTGTACAAGTACGTAGAGAAGAAGATAGGAAGTGTGTTTGAGAGGTACGGCTGATTTGTTGCTGCACATGCCTGGAAGGTACTCATTGTCTCCATTGTTGTTAATGCTGGGCTAGGGATTGGTATGATAAAGTTGGATATAGATAATGATGCCAGAAATTACCTCCCTTCAGGTTAGTTCATCAAAAGTTATAGTACACGTACATTTTGTATTCAATTCAAAAGAATATGCATTCTTGTGCAATTCCAGTTACCTTGTACATGAAAGACAAACTTGAGAGGATTTGAAGAAAATGACAATACCAAAAGAGTTATTGCTTTTGTAAAAAAACCACTAGAAATAAATATTCATAACAGCTTTCATTGATAGATTAATTATTATCAGAAAATATGAAAAATGCTGAAATTATTAGGGTTTTTGTTAATTTGTTTAGCTAACATAAGTTCTGCAGTAGAGATGGTCCCATATTATCTATACATCAATGAATTGTGATATCATTGTCCTGTGAATACATTATTGTTGATACAATGTTGAGTTATTGATATCTTGTGTAATATTTATCTATTACATTTGTACCTGAAGTTTCAGAGAAGTGTTATTGCCTATTGTTTATTACATAATATGACATACATGTATTTTAAGCCAGAGGAATGATGTATAAGTACTCATTTTGACATTTAAAGATTGTTCTAGTCAAGATCTAGTCACTAAGATGGATACATTTTCAGCAGCGGTGCAAGCACAACTTGATTCTGCAGTACAATATGAATATTTTATATATTATGGCCCATTTCACAGGGAGTCAAGAGGAAATTGACCAGAAAAAGATCGAGACTCTCTTTCCATATTGTGATTATGAGAACTTTGATGCTCTGCGAGTCACAAGCGAAGGTCCATGGCTACGGATCATCGTGAAGAGTAAAGATGGCAATTTGTTAACGAGACCTGTGCTGGAGGAACTGCAATCATTTTATAATCACCTATATAATATCAGTGTTGAAGAAGATTTTGAAAGATTTGACAGGAGGATAGGTAGATTAGACAATCGTACAGACAACTACACAAAGGTCATCTCGGATGAAAAACTAGGTCACAGGAGCTAAAAATAGAAAACCTTGTTAACGCTCTAGAGGTCACATTTTTGCCTCAATCATCATCAAACTTTATCAGGATGCTTGTCTACATGATAGCTTGGATGAGTTTGAACATGGGTCATCTCAGATGAAAAACTAGGTCACCAGAGCTAAAAATATAAAAACCTTGTTAACACTCTAGCGGTCACATTTTTGCCTCAATCATCATCAAACTTGGTCAGAATGCTTGTCTAGGTGATAGCTCGGATGAGTTCGAACATGGGTCATCTGGGATGAAAAACAAGGTCACCAGAGCTAAAAAAAGAAAAAAACCTTGTTAACACTCTAGCGGTCACATTTTTGCCGCCATCATCATCAAACTTGGTCAGAATGCTTGTCTAGGTGATAGCTCGGATGAGTTCGAACATGGGTCATCTCGGATGAAAAACTAGGTCACTGAAGATAAAAATAGAAATTTTTTGTTAACACTCTAGCGGTCACATATCATCAAACTTGGTCAGGATGCTTGTCTTGGTGATAGTTCGGTTGAGTTTGAACATAGGTCATCTTGGATGAAAAACTAGGTCACCGGAGCTTAAAATAGAAAAACAATGTTAACACTCTAGCGGTCACTTTTTTGCCGCAATCATCATCAAACTTAGTCAGGATGCTTGTCTAGGTGATAGCTCGGATGAGTTCGAACATGGGTCATCTCGGATGAAAAACTAAGTCACTGAAGATAAAAATAGAAAAACTTTGTTAACACTCTAGCGGTCACATATCATCAAACTTGGTCAGGATGCTTGTCTTGGTGATAGCTCGGATGAGTTTGAACATGGGTCATCTCGGATGAAAAACTAGGTCACCGGAGCTAAATAGAAAAACCTTGTTAAGACTCTAGGGGTCACATTTTTGACTCAAGTGTCATCAAACTTGGTCAGGATGCTTGTCTAGGTAATTGCTGGGATAATTTTGAACATGGGTCATCTCGGATGAAAAACTAGATCACCGGAGCTAAAAATGACATTCTATTGTCCAAATATCCTGTAAATTGGTCTGAAAGTTTGTTTTGATTATTTCTAGGTCAAGTTCAAATATGGGTCACCTGGGGGTCAAAGACTAGGTCACACTGCCCAAATATACAAAAAAAACTTGTTAACATTCTAGTGGTCACATTTTTGACTCAATTATCATCAAACTTGGTCAGGATTCTTGTCTAGGTGATAGCTTGGATGAGCTAGAACATGGGTCATCTCAGATGAAAAACTAGGTCACCAGAGCTTAAAATAGAAAAAACCTTGTTATCACTCTAGCGGTCACATTTTTGGCTCAATCATCATCAAACTTGGTCAGGATTCTTGTCTAGGTGAAAGCTTGGATGAGCTCGAACATGGGTCATCTCAGATGAAAGACTAGGTCACCAGAGCTTAAAATAGAAAAAACCTTGTTATCACTCTAGCGGTCACATTTTTGGCTCAATCATCATCAAACTTGGTCAGGATGCTTGTCTAGGTAATAGCTTGGATGAGTTCGAGCATTGGTCATCTCGGATGAAAAACTAGATCACCGGAGCTAAAAATAGAAAAACCTTTTTAACACTCTAGCGGTCACATTTTTGCCTCAATCATCATAACACTTGGTCAGGATGCTAGTCTAGGTGATAGCTCGGATGAGTTCGAACATAGGTCATCTGGGATGAAACACTAGGTCACTGAAGATAAAAATAGAAAAACTTTGTTAACACTCTTGCGGTCACATATCATCAAACTTGGTCAGGATGCTTGTTTGGTGATAGCTCGGATGAGTTTGAAAACATGGGTCATCTCGGATGAAAAACTAGGTCACCGGAGCTAAAAATAGTAAAAACCTTGTTAACACTCTAGCGGTCACATTTTTGCCGCAATCATCATCAAACTTGGTCAGGATGCTTGTCTATGTGATAGCTCGGATGAGTTCGAACATGGGTCATCTGGGGTGAAAAACTAGGTCACTGAAGATAAAAATAGAAAATTTTTGTTAACACTCTAGCGGTCACATATCATCAAACTTGGTCAGGATGCTTGTCTTGGTGATAGCTCGGATGAGTTTGAACATGGGATATCTTGGATGAAAAACTATGTCACCGGAGTTAAAAATAGATAAACCTTGTTAAGATTCTAGGGGTCACATTTTTGACTCAAGTGTCTTCAAACTTGGTCAGGATGCTTGTCTAGGTAATTGCTGGGATAATTTCGAACATGGGTCATCTCGGATGAAAAACTAGATCACCGGAGCTAAAAATGTAAAATCTTGTTAACACTCTAGTGTCCAAATATCCTGTAAATTGGTCTGAATGTTTGTTTTGATTATTTCTAGGTCAAGTTAAAATATGGGTCATCTGGGGTCAAAAACTAGGTCACACTACCCAAATATACAAAAAAAACCTTGTTCACATTCTAGTGGTCACATTTTTTACTCAATTATGATCAAACTATGTCAGGGTGCTTGTCTAGATTATTGCTCGGATGAGTTCGAACACGGGTTATCTAGGATGAAAAACTAGGTCACTGGAGCTAAAAATAGAAAATTTTATGAATACTCTAGTAGCTACAGTTTTGATTGTAATATCCTGTAAGTTGGTCTGAAAATTTGTTTTGATGATTTCTAGGTCAAGTTTAAACATGGGTCATCTCGAATGAAAAACTAGGTCACACCGCCAAAATATGGAACAACCTTGTTAACACTCTAGTGGTCACATTTTTATCCGAAAAGGCGGCGGGGGATATAGAAATAGTCTCCGTCTGTCCTTCCGACCTTCCGTCCGTCCGTCCTTCCGTCCGACATTTTTGTCCGGAGCATATCTCAAAAGTTTTTGAAGTATCAAATTGAAACTTCATAGGTGGATAGACCTTATTGAGGAGGAGTGCAGTGTACAAGAATGATTACTCTACCCTGCATAATTTTTGAGTTATTGCCCTTTGTTATTTTTCAAAATTAATTTTTATCAAGAGCATAACTCAAAAAGCCTTTGAGATATCAACATGAAACATCATAGGTGCATAGATCTCACTCAAGAGGTGTGCAGTGCACAATAAAAATAACTCTACCTTTCATAATTTTTTAGTTATTGCCCTTTGTTATTTTTCATACTTAATTTTTCACCATTGTGGAGCATAACTCAAAAGTGTTTGAGATATCAACATGAATTGTCATAGGTGGATAGATCTTATTGAGGAGGAATGCTGTGCGCAAGAATGATTACTCTTCCCTATTTAATTTTTGAGTTATTGTCCTTTGTTATTTTTCATACTTAATTTTTCACCTGAGTGGAGCATAACTCAAAAGTGTTTGAGATATCAACATGAATTGTCATAGGTGGATAGATCTTATTGAGGAGGAATGCTACGCGCAAGAATAATAACTCTTCCCTTTATAATTTTTGAGTTATTGCACTTTGTTCTTTTTCATACTATTTTGTCCGGAGCTTATATCAAAAAGTATTTGAGGTATCAACTTAAAACTTCATAGCTGGATGTATCTCATTGAGGAGGAGTGCAATGCACAAGAATGATAATTCTACCCTGCATAATGTTTTAGTAATTGCACTATGTTATTTTTCAAAATTAATTTTTGTCTAGAGCATAACTCAAAAGGCCTTTGAGATTTCAACATGAAGCTTCATAGGTGCATAGATCTAACTCAGGAGGTGTGCAGTGCACAAGAATGATAACTCTACCTTTTATAATTTTTGAGTTATTGCCCTTTGTTATTTTTCATACTTAATTTTTCACCTGTGTGGAGCATAACTCAAAAGTGTTTGAGATGTCAACATGAAATGTCATAGGTGGATAGATCTTATTCAGGAGGAATGCTGTGCACAAGAATGATAACTCTTTCCTATATAATTTTTGAGTTATTGCCCTTTGGTTTTTTCATACTATTTGCTCGGAGCTTATCTCAAAAAGTATTTGAGGTATCACCTTGAAACTTCATAGGTGGATAGATTATACTGAGGAGGGGTGCAGCACACAAGAATGATTACCTACCCTGCATTATTTTTCAGTTATTGCCCTTTGTTATTTTCAGCCATCAGTATTCACATTGGTTTCATATCTGTAATCACTTCAGCCATGACTTTTCATTACCAAAAGACCTCTTAAAATGGAATAATTCTGCTCTACTACATATACATTCTTCCAATGAGCAAACACATTTGGTGGGGGATGGCCATGTTGACATGGCTCTTGTTGACCTAATTATCATCAAACTTGGACAGGATGCGTGTCTAGGTAATTGCTCAAATGAGTTCGAACATGGGTCATCTGGCATGAAAAACTAGGTCACCAGAGCTAAAAATAGAAAAATCTTGTTAACACTTTAGTAGCTACTGTTTTAATCCAAATATCCTGGAAATTGGTCTGAAAGTTTGTTTTGATGATTTCTAGGTCAAGTTTGAATATGGGTCACCTGGGTTAAAAAAACTAGGTCACACTGCTCAAATATGGATAATCCTAGTTAACACTCTAGTGGTCACATTTTTGGCTCACCTGTTATGAAACTTGGTCAAAATGCTTGTCTAGGTATTTGTTCGAATGAGTTCGATGGGTCAGGTGAGTGATCTAGGGCCATCATGGCCCTCTTGTATAAATAACCCTCAAACCAGACCTGCAATATTGATATATAGGCAGATATATTGTTTTTGTCTTTATTGACCTTGTTACCTGTCTTCTTATAGACAACTTAAATCTTTAAACCTTAGCCATGATATATTCAAAAACTTTAAAAAAATATTTTCTTGACACCAAAATTCTAATACTGTATCTAAAAATTAATTTGCAAGGTTGAACATTCACAAATTTTTCTTTCAGTGTTGTTCATATTAAATAGTGCAGTGTAGAAACAAATATTTATTTACACGAAAATCTTCAGGTTGCAAAATTTAATCCCTCGTGAAATTTTCTAATTTTGCAGATTGAATGCTCTTATTAAGCTATATCTGGACATACATGTACAATATGACCTTAAACACTAAATGATTTAAGTGTTCAAGGTCAAATTTTCAAAATTAAAGAAATTTTACAATAACTCATGTTTAATGTTTAACCAAATTTAAGTTGACCTGAAACTGCTGAGCAGTTTCTCTCAAATTTAAAAGTAAAAACTACAGTAAAGACTCTAAAAACCGACCCCTCTGAAATCCGAATGATTTTCAAGGGCCCGAATTTTTAATAAAATGTGAAACTAATTATTTCTGGGATTTTTTAAAAGATAAAAGATTGATCATATGTATAGTCAGCTTTATTTCGATATTTATTATATGTATGAATAATAATGTTTCCATTACATATTTATTTCAATAACCAATAAAAAAGTTCCATTTCAGATAAGGTGTTGTTTTCATTTCTAATTTTCTATTTATGAATTGGCAAAACAAAATACTCAAGACATTTATTACAAAAAGAAATTGAAAATATGACTAAGACAGACAAAAGTGTAGAACAGTAAATACAAAAGAATTTAATTAAACAAAGTCATTGTACAAACACATCATAATAATCAATAAATGCATGAAACTTCTGAAAACTGGAATCCTCTTTGAAAAAGTCCAAGTAGGGTCCGGTTTCACTGTAGATTTATAGTTAATAATCTTTAGATATGAATGTATTAAGTAACCCCTTATGCTATGTTTACATGTTGGTTGTTATCGTTATCTGAAATCTGTGCCAAGATGAACAGGCGATGTGTTGTGGATGGAGAAATTTTCATGGAAGAAGAGTTCCTGGCTGCCGTAGATAAACATAATATCCCATACCCAGTATTCAACTCACCTACATAGGGAGATATTAATTATGCTACATTTTTGGGAGGTAAATATCTAAATTGCTCAAAATTGAATCCTTAGCTTCTGACAGCAAGTGGATCTGCCCATGTGACCAGTGCAGACCAGTCATATCATTTGCAGGCATCAAAAAATATTTTCTGAGTCATTAACTTGTCCTACAGGATGAGTAGCTGTTAAATCCAATGAACAGGTAACATTTTTCAACTCTTACTCTGGTCACTATCATTGGGTATGTACAGTATTTTTTGTGAAATTTAATTGTGTTAAAGTCCACCCTGTCTACATTTGGCACCTGGGGTTTAAACAATAAACTTCCAACATTTGCACCATGTGATCTCCCAATACTACTTAGTATTGGATCATATTCTATCAATAAATCATCGTTTTCCATTTTGCCAGCCGAAAATTTTCATATCAAGTCACTAATGTGCTTCATCTAGCAAATTTTTCATGTTCAGTGTACAAAAATTTCATAACAAATCCTATCTGTACTCGAAGTATCAAAGATAAATAAAAAATAAGGTGATGTGAAGTAGAAATGTCATATACATTGTTGAGTATAAATTGATTCTATTTGACTCATACACAGCTGTGACACAAGGTGTAACTTAATGTAACTTTGATTTGAAAAACAATAACCCAATAAAAATTTCCTTTTTTTAAAGAAATATAACTTAATTCATAATGATCTACAGCTGGAATTATTTAAAGGAATATTCTAGTCAGCATATTGATATAGCATATGGATAGTACAGTTCAGTGAACGAGGAGTTGGAAAAAATTTGACATGTGATATAACACTATTCGGAGGAACAATGGCTTTGATGATAGTGTATGCATTTGCGGCTACATTTTCTTCAAGGTATTTCATTTCTCTTCTTCTTGATCTTTCTCGGGGTTCAAATAATGACGGGTATATTTCTTTGTACATGTACATAAATGTCTCCGTTTACTGTGCAATTATGTATATAATACTGTTTAAGTGATTTATTTTGTTTCTGGAAATATATGTGATTTTTGCGAATTAAAATAATTAGCAAATAAATCAACTTTAGTAAAGTCTTCAGTGGCCATTCATCATTTTAACATTACACCATTGCAGTGGTTTTCATGTTAATATATCCCATAAAGAATAACATCTTGCTAAACACACATATAACATGATTAATTTGTTCATTTAATATTTTACACTATGAAATAATAACAAAAAAGGTAGTGGAAATTCGAGAGTCATTAATTCCTGCCTTTGCTTGTGACTTCCAAAATATAATGCTTTTCCTCCTTTACCTACATAATGAAACTTCCAATGTCAGACATTTTGCAGAATCGACTTTCAAATTTTGGAACTTAATGAAATCCCTGTAATATAACCTATAACAAAAGAATTATTTTCATACAGTTTAATTGTATGACAATTGATGATTATAAAACCAAATTTAAACCACTTGCTGGAATACATTTTCTTGATTGGTTAAAATGAGTTAAAAATTTTGGTAAATGTTTTTATTCATTTACCAGTTAGTATTTGATTATCTAATTGTTATAACAAGCGTGCTAATATTACTGGAGTTCTGGAAATCTTACTTTAGCAAATATTTCGGCACACAAAAAGTCCTTTATTGGACATTTGCAAACTTTTTGTTATGTAGAAATATTCAATGATACAGAACTTAGTAAATGTATATTTTGCAAAAATATTCAATACTGGAAATTGGCAAAATTTAATCCCTCAATAAATGTTGTTTTACTGGGATTTGATTCTTTATTGATCAGACAGAGTGATCACTTTTCCATATTTTATTCATTTGATCTTGTATAGATTTACAACTTGATATTCTTGTTTGTATTACAGAGCATCTGATCAGGTTGGACAAAGGATCTGGCTAGGGTTTGCTGGAATTCTTGCTGCTGGCATGGCTATCACATCATCTATAGGTCTATGTTCTTTAGCTGGAGTTGGCTTTGTGACCATAGTAGGCGTGGTTCCATTTCTTATCATAGGTAATTAATAACCCTTCTTGTTCAGAATTTGTGTAAATATCTGCTGTTTATTTTTGACTGTGTATTTTATTTTGAATTTAATTCAAAAATTAGAAATACTAGAATTATCAGCTTGTATGTATTTTAGACTGTGTTCAGACTGTACAGATGATCAGACTGGTTTGCCTCCATACTAACTTACATGACATTGTTACTTCTTTTGTTGTTTTTATTCTCATTCATATTAAAGAAACAGGTTTATAAACTTAACAGTAAGGGATACATTTTTGCTATTTTTGTTTTAAGATCTAATTAAAAAAATACAGAAGTCTTAAACTGAAAGGTAATCAACTTACATGTGTATCTGGAGATTAAAAACATGTCCTTTTTTACATAGTTTAGCATGATCACACAAAGGCTATGCTACTGTTTATTTTAATAGACTACTATTTTCAGGTATTGGTATTGATGACATGTTTTTACTGCAGTCGGCTTATCAGCAGCTCAGACTGAAACCAATGTGGCAGATAAAATGGCCAAAACAATGTGTGTTTCTGGTGTAGGTGTCACTATCACCTCTCTAACAGATCTTATTGCATCCATGGCGGGTGTTGGGTCAGAGTTTGTGGCGGTCCAGAATTTCTGCACTTATACAGGTAGTTAGCAGACATTATAGAGTTTGGTCAGACTGCAGCGATGTGAAGACTAGCCTGGTTCTTCACTGACAGCGAAAGTTTCGGCAGGGAAACTGTTAATTTAAATGATATATATACATGTATTATATAAAATCATATGATTATTAAGAATGTCTTGAAACATGAAAAATGATATGTGAAAAAAAAATTATGCAACGTATCTTACCATAAAGCATGACAATCGTCTTCATATGAAATAACGATAATTATACAATCTATCCTTTGTTTTTGAAATGATATCTGATGAACACATTGTTAATCCCCTTCCGCTTAGCATGAAGGGGATTATAGGAATGGCCTCCGTCTTTCAGTCTGTCCGTCAATAACACTGAAATAATGTCTGATGAACACATTGTTAATCCCCTTCTGCGTAGCGTGAAGGGGATTATAGGAATGGCCTCTGTCTGTCTGTCAGTCCGTCTGTCCGTAACACATTCATGTCCACTCCATAACGGGTTGCTATCCCCCAAAGTCAAAGTCACACTTAAAGGTCAAGTGTTAAAAAGTCTACATTTCGTGTCCTCTTCATAACTTTTAAACCGCTGAAATGTTTTTGAAAATATTTTTTACACAAGTGATCACCATTATGAGACAATGTGCAGTGCACAATAACTAGGTTGCTACCCCTAGGGTCAAGGTCACACTTTTTGGTCAAGTGTTAAAAGTTTACATTTCGTGTCTGTTCCATAACTTTAAAACCGCTGAAAATCTTTTAAATTACTTGGCACAAGTAATCACCAGTATGAGACAATGTGCAGAGCGCAATAGTTGGGTTGCTTCATCCAAGGGCAAGGTCATACTTAAAGATCAAGTGTTAAAAATCTAAATTTCATGTCCGCTCCATAACTTTTAAACTGCTGATTTAAAAAAAAATAAGTACCATTATAAGATGATGTGCAGAGCCCAATAATTGGGTTGCTTCCCCCAAAGTCAAGGGCACACTTAAAGGTCAATTGTTAAAAGTGTACATTTCGTGTCCGTTCTATAACTTTTAAACCACAAAAAATATTGAAATTGAAATTACTTGGCACAAAAAGTAATCACCATTATTAGACGATCTGCAGAGCGCAATAATTGTGTTATAAGTGTACATTTTGTGTCTGCTCAATAACTTTTAAACTGCTGAAAAAATGTTGAAATAACTTGGCACAAGTGATCATCATTATGAGATGATGTGCAAAGCGCAATAATTGGGTTGCTACCTCCAAGGTCAAGGTCACACTTAAAGGTCAAATGTTAAAAAGTCTACATTTTGTGTCTGCTCCATAACATTTAAAACGCTTAAATGTTTTTAAGATGACTTGGCAGAAATCATCACCATTATGAGACAATGTGCAGAACCCAACATCAGGGTTGCTACCCTCATAGTCAAGGGTAAATGTTCTTCATAACTTTTTGACTTTATGAAAGATTTTAAATTACTTGGCACAAGTAATTACTATCAAGGTCCTGTTTTGTTAAAGGTCAAGAAGTACACATTCATGTTTGCTGCGGAAGGGGATTTAGCTGTCCTTCAGACTGCCTTGTTTTGTTTCAGTTATGAAAGAAGTTATTTGATTTAATTAATCTCTATACAATCTTCACACTGAAAAGTAATGTAATTGTCTGTTTCTTTTATATTTCAGCTGTTGCAGTGGTGTTTTGCTATTTAAACAACATCACATTTTTCGCAGCCTGTGTTGCTATCAATGAACGACGTGTAGATGGCAATCGCCATTTTATGACATGTCAACCAATAAAAACCAAGGAAAAGTTATTTGAAGAAAGGGAATCCAACTTAACAGTCACTTGCTGTGGAGGACGTGCACCGAGGAACCGAGAAGAAGCGGAAAGCTTGATTGACAAACTCCCTCGTTGGCTGATCCCGAAAATAGTCCTTAAATTACCATGCAAGATTATCATCTTGGTTTTATATATTCCGTACATTATCTTTGCAATATACGGCTGTATTCACATGAAACAAGGAATGCCTTTCTCCCAGTTAGTCAGTGATGACTCGTACTTCTTCAAGTACTCTGAATGGAATGAGCAACATTTCCCTCGACAAGCTGTGGTGATGTTTGTTATAACAAGTACACAAAATTATTTCCTACAGGAAACACAGTCACAGGTGGATAAATTGATTTCTAGAGCATAAGCCAGTTCTTTCTTTGAAGAAAACTATGAAGTAAATTGGCTTAAATCCTTCAGAGAATCACAATATTACAGTGTTGGAAATGCGTTTTTATTTGGGATTGAAAGGGTTTTTCAGTGATCCGCAGTACATGATGTATTACAATGATGTTGCAGTGGACTTAACAAAAGCGTTATCCTAGCATCTCGTGTATATGTACGGTCGAAAAGTGTTAAACATAACGAAGAGGGGGAACTTATGTTAGAAGCACGAAAAATAGCTGAAACTGCTTCAATTGATTGTTTTGCCTTTTCAACAGTGTTTACAAAAGCCGAATTGTATGTTCGCATTTTAAGACTGACTGCCCAATCTGTTGGTATTGCTCTTGCATCAGTTTTTGTGATCACATGTTTATTTATGCCATACCATGTACTGATTCTGTTTGTCACTGTGGCTGTTGCTTCAATAATGGTAGGTGTTGTAGGCTATATGTTGTATTTGAATGTGTCGTTAAGTGCAATCTCAATGGTGATGTTGATTATGAGTATTGGCTTTTCTGTTGACTTTACGGCCCACATTTGCCATGGTTACATGATGTCTGATGGAGGGACACGCCCTACTAGGGTGCAGCAAGCAATTGATAAAACTGGTGCTCCAATTTTCCATGGTGCCGTCTCGTCTATCTTGGGTGTGTTAGCTCTTGTTGGTGCAAAATCTTATATTTTCCGATCGTTTGCTGCAATTAAGGCGTTTGTCTTGCTTTTTGGCATCATGCATGCTCTGTTTTTACTTCCGGTGGTTTTTTTCCTGGTTCGGACCGGGAAAAAATAACACAGAGACAGAGGATAAAGAGTCAGATAAGTCAGCAATGGCCAATGAGGATACGGAAGCAAATGATATTAAATTGAAAAAGATGTATCCGACAATGATAACTCGGCAGGTGCGAAGTTGTTGAAAGTTACCGAGGATAAAGAATCAGAGAAGTCAGCAATGGCCAATGAGGATACGGAAGCAAATGATATTAAATTGAAAGATGTATCCGACAATGATAACTCGGCAGGTGCGAAGTTGTTGAAAGTTACCGAGGATAAAGAATCAGAGAAGTCAGCCATGGCCAATAAGGATACGGAAGCAAATGATATTAAATTGAAAGATGCATCCGACAATGATAACTCGGCAGATGTGAAATTGTTGAAGGTTACAATGAAATCCGACACTGAAATTAAAGGGGAAGATGTATGAATGTAAAGCATCAGAATAATTTTACCTCACGATGATGTTTCGTAGTGAATAGAAATTATTTGCTGAAGTATATTACATTAATAAATATACAGTATGTCTTACCTGAGTATTGTAAAAAATTTGATCAAAAGTTTGTTATAGATGATACATGTTTGTTATAGATGATACATGTATATGGATAGTCTGTTTCACACATAGGAGATGTAATAATTCACTATAGTAATACTTGATAAATGTTTTTCTATTGTAAACCATTTGTTGTAGTGTTAAATGGACAAAAAAATGCTTTTCAGTATTGTGATTAACTGCCTGATAGTGGGAAATCTCATCTTGTATGTATGTCACAACTATCACATTATTGTTTATTGGCAATCGTAGTTGAATTGTTATTTGTGAAATGGATAATTAAGGATATTGTATTGTTTTTTTTTACAGATTTGTGCATTTACCTGAATATGAACTAGCACTTCCTTTGTCAGGTATATTGCAATACCTTTGTTTGTTATTGTGTTTTATTGTGAAGCCTTTTATTCAGTAAAATGAAAAGAAAACGGGGTTACAAGCAAACATACAGTTTATGATTGTAAATCCTCTTTACCTTAATATACTAATTCTAAAAAGCTATATAACAGGAAATATTCATGTTCTCTTAATAAAGGAAGAACTTTAGCTGCATTGAAAATATTGTTTCTCTTAGAATATTTTGTTGAAATTTTAGATGAGGTAAATTGGTCAAAGTGGGCTGTTTGTTTCCTTGTGATTTTCCTTGGAAGTGAAGCATTCAAGAGTGAAAATTAATTTAGAGAAATTTCAAGTGATGGCAGCATAAACATATTGTAAAATTTTTAATATATTAATTGTTGGAAGCAAAATTTTGCTTTTTTAATTGGAATCTCATTGTTTTTTGTATACAATCTCAGTTTGAAAACTTAAGAAAATGTTTATTTCTTTTTTATTGTTTTGTATGATATAGTAATAATATCATTTACCTATAACAGTATACAGTGCAGCCTGGTTAATTTGGTTATCCTTGCAGTCTGACCAGGCTCTATACTGTTGATAGTTTGATACTGACATCCCTTTAACTGCTAATGGACTGTTCCAAAATCAAATTAGGACTAGTCCATTGTACAAATTCAGTAGGGTAACTGATAGGAGTATGTTTGTAAGAGCAATAAAACTTTAACCTTTGACCTTTAACCTACTGGAACCAAACATGATTACCCTTTACCACCAGTATATAGCCAGACAGATATTATCACCTATTACTGCATGGTCTTTAACAACAATGACTTGTTGTTTGGAAGGAGATATTGTGACATGTACAATTTAATATACATGTATACAAGGGTGAAATAGTGCAGGTATTTATTGGAGACTCCTCTGTTAGTCAATACCTATTCACATTTTTGTGGCAGTATTGTATATGTATTCAGTCATTATGTATATTTATGTGTAAGTTGTTATTTATGTCAATGTATCACAGAGAAATACAAGGTATTTTCCAATATTATCACAACATTTTTAGTAAGAATGGCATCAGATGCAGCAGAAGTTTTGTATTTATAAGATTTTTTTAATAATCTTAATCAAGTGCAATATATAATGTTTTATATATATATTATTATGTTCTTTTTCATGTAAAACATGCTTCATCTGTTCCTTCTTATTTATATCATGTTTGTTTTGTAACGCACGGCTTAGCCATTCAATGTATCATTTTATCATTTAAAAGTCTTGTTACAAAGGCCTGTCTTTGTAACTGTTTCAGATTTTTATTTCATCTTGCTACATTAATATTTACCACCTTATGGTGGAAATATAGTTTTATTTTTGTTCCCGGTGATTTGAAGTAGTGTTACAATTTTACAATATACTGCGAACTTGTGTTATATAGTAGTGAAAATTGTGCATGAAATGCTTCTAAGATATAAAAGTACTATGTATTTATGTTTCTGTGCCAAATGTATGTTAATGTTTTGATTAAAATGCTTCAATATTGACACAGTAAGTCTTTAACTATTAGTTATCATGTTCATTAGTGCCGATTAAATTTGTGCTTGATATTTATTGCCATTAAAAGTATTGCAATAATATGTTGTTTTTCTTTTTATATGTATCCTTTATCAGCTCAGGGTGAGCTTTCGGGATCCTTGAATGTCCGTCGTCCGTCCACATTTGTTCGTTAACACTCTAGTGGTCCATTTTTGCCTTAATCATCAGCAAACTTTGTCAGGATGCTTGTCTAGGTAATTGCTCGCATGAGTTCCAACATGGGTAATCTCAGATGAAAAACAATTAAGGTCACAGGAGCTAAAAAGAGAAAAATCTTGTTAACACTCTAGTGGTTACAGTTTTGATCCAAATATCTGAAAGTTTGTTTTATGATTTCTAGGTCAAGTTTGAATATGGTTCACCTGTGGTTAAAAACTAGGTCACACTGCCCAAATATGGAAAAACCTTGTTAACACTCTAGTGGTCATATTTTTGACTCAATTATCATCAAACGTGGTCAGGATGCTTGTCCAGGTAATTGCTCAGATGAGTTCGAACATGGATCATCTCAGATGATAAACCAGGTCACAGGAGCTAAAAAAAGAAAAATCTTGTACTGTAGTGGTTACTGTTTTGATCCAAATATCCTGGAAAATAGTCTGAAAGTTTGTTTTGATGTTTTCTAGGTCATGTTCGAATATCGTTCACCAGGGGTCAAAAACTAGGGCACACTTCCAAAATATTGAAAAACCTTGTTAACACTTTAGTGGTAACATTTTTGACTCACTTATCATCAAACTTTGTCTAGATAATTGCTTGAATAAGTTTAAACTGATTATGACATTCACTCATCAATGACCTTAATCTTTAAGGTCAAATTATTGTTTGTTTTTGGTTTTACGTCACACCGACACAGTATAGGTCATTTGGCGACGTTCCAGCTCTACTGGTGGAGGAAGACCTCAGGTGCCCTTCCGTGCATTATTTCTGGCACGAACCCCGAGTAGAACCACCGACGTTTCGTAAGCTAGCTGGATAGCTTCCTCACATGAAAGAATCCAAAGTCCCTGTCGGGATTCGAACCCACAGCGATGAGGGGCAAGTGGTTTGAAGTCAACGACCTTAACCACTCGGCAACGGACGCCGTCAAATTATTGAATTTTACTTGACTTTTGCTATAATTGACTATAACATAATACTTGAGAACAGCTTCGTTAAGGACAATGTGTTTGAGAAGACCAAACAGTCTTTATTTTGGATATGTGATGAATATAGGATATCATATTCGCGTAGATTCGTTGCTAAATTTATTTCAGTATCAAGCTTACACTCATTCAATATCCTGTATGTCATAAAATAAGTTCGTGAACATGTTTATTATCAATACAAAGGTTGCACAATTCATTAGGATTATCTCATTTTAGTTTTTGCTTAAAACTATTATTATTATCTTTATTTCCTCCATCACTGAAGAGCATTTACATTATACATATTACAGATAGTACAAAAGATCATATATACAGTAGATATAAATACAAGATTGTTTTAGAATTATATAAATTAGTAAAGAAAAGGCATAATTATAATATGTACAAACATACTAAAAGAAAAATAATGCAATTAATCTGTGATATCTATCAACAAATGTTAATTGAATGAATATATATATAAAGGGAATAAGCTACTTAGTTGCATAGATATCAGGTTCATATGTATATATCAAGAGCATCAGACCTGAGCTTGTTTAGTGTAACAAAATTACTTAGGTGAAGGCAGAGGTAAAATTCAATTCAATTAAGTAAAGTTTAAAGTTACAATAATTTTAATTTTGAGGAAAGACGATGAATAATTATTGAAAAAAAAACAAACAAAAAAAACAACAACAAATTTTATAATATTTAAATGATTGCCAAAAACACATTAAGTAATTAGCCTTAACCGAAACGAAATTATCAAGGCGATTAAGATGTGTTTAAGCTAGGCCAGTTGTTGTTATTTTATATATGAATAAGGACACTTACGCAAACTATCAATTATTGACTATCTAAAATCTACATTGTCTATGATTTAAATTGAGCAATAGTGGAAAAAAAAAGATAAAAAGGGATTCTTAATGAAAACAACACTTGTACGTTAACCTTAAACCGAAAACGAAACATTAAGGCGTGTAAGTTGTGTTGTGAACAAAGAGTAATGATATCACAAAAATGTACATTTATAATAAGAAAATTCATAAATCAAACATAAATAATTGAAAATATATAACATTCAGTATTAAATCTTTATGTACACGTTCATAACTCAATATAACTTAATGCAATGAAGTTATTCGCCATCTGCTTATATCACAGTTTATACATTGCTTAGGTAGTCATGTTATAGACACTTGCTAGGAACACCTTAAAACATGATACTCTCAGGCTATCGTTCATGTCAAAAGAATCAAAACCACTGAACATTTCTAAAAGTTGTGATTCTGGTGAAAAGGAACAAAAGATTTCGAATTGCTGTATGCCTAACATATGTGACAGGTTAGACCATAATGTAAATCTGATACTCTCCATTTTCTCACAGAAGAAAATAAGATGTAACACAATATAGTCAGTGGGTAATTCACATTTATCACACGTTACTTCATAGCTTCTTGAGAAAAATTTAGAAAGAAGTCTGAATGCATAGACACATTGAATCTGATATGTTTTATACTGGCGACTGAATCTCCATAACATACAAGGTTCATACTTTGAGTGCAAACGGGAGAAACTAGATAGACTGGCATCGCATAATATTCTATTGCGCCATTCGAATTCAACAGTTTTGTGAATGGCTGATTTGATCGTGTTTTTCCATGCGTATGAGGATTGTATAGTTCCAGTGTTCATGTAAATTCGTAAGAACGAAGTTAGTCCATACCGACCTAATATTTTGTATAAATCTGGGATAAATCCAGACACTTTTCTCGGTTCCAGCATGTACGACGTAAGTCTATTTGAAAATACTTGTTTAATTTTAAATTTTGTATTCAAACGACACAGTTAACCGAAGAAGAGGAGTTTCCTTTTTATACATTGTCGAATATTCCGGATAAGGTAACGCGCGCTGATGGAATAATAAAATTTGTTGAAAAGACATTTTACAAAGTGAGGAGAAAAAAATAGATCTAGCAAAAATCTAAAATGATAATAAAAAACAACAAAAACAACAGCAATGGCCATGAAGAATATATAACAAATACTTTGTACTTTTATACTGACCAATCAGAACTGCAGGAATGAAATGATCGGAGAATCGATCTCAATATCACAGACAAAATACGCCTCATCATGTGCTGTATATACTAGTATCGTGATATTGCGAGAGTTACATTGTCACTGTTAATATTTCACGAATTACCCTGTCAATAGTTATATCATATCAACGAACAGTTTTCTATATTAAAATTAAGGCACTAAACCACAAACATGGACGGGAAAACAGCGTGAGTAGGCGATTTACAGTTTTATATTTCAAAAGTTAGATTAGTCATATATTTTATGCTTAAATTGTATAGGTAGTGTTTCGATATTGTAAACATTTATAATTGTGTTGAATATTTTTTAAATGACAATTATTTTGCAATATAAATAATTATTGGAAGAAGCAGTAACACCGTATATGTGGAAAGAATTCTTCTTAAAGGTCTGACAACAGGTTCATGTAAGAATTGGCCTTTTCTTTTACATACAACTTAACCATTATACTTTTTATCAAGTTCATAATTAAATAATATATTTATGTAGAGGGAGTAACTTTTATTTAGAGACTATACATAGTAACCTCTGCACAAAGGATTTCAATAAATTTTAGTTTTATTAAATAAGTGAATACTTATTTATATTCACTCGGACCATCTACCGTACAAAAAGGACAGCTTTTACAGGTGTTGTGTAATTCGTTTCTCTGCTATTTTTATGCTTCTGTCACTAATATATTTATTTCAATATTTACAATTTTTTTCATCATTTTTTGGAAAATAGAGAACATTGCAGACCAGGATTTAATTAACGCTAAAAGTAAGGAGTTAACGAGTCGGGTTACCTTTTGTCGGTGTTAAAAGAGATATATTTACACAATAAAATAATGATTGGTCGTATATGATAATAATTACATGTAAAATTATTCTGTATTATTCTTTTTTTATGTGTGAAATAAAGTCTAATTCATTAGTTACTAAGCCAGATATAGAAGTTTAATTTAACCTTCGTGCATTCATTGTTGTAGCGCCGATAAATGTCCAAACGTCGAAAAATGTCCAAACGACGATAAATGTCCAAAAATTGACGATAAATGTCTCAATCGCCGATAAATGTCCAAAACTCCTTTAACGATAAATGTCCAAAAATTAACGAAAAATGTCGCAACAAATTAGGTGCTCATAAATGTCCAAATCGGTTAACGATAAATGTCTCAACTTTTCATGTTACATGTAATTGCACTTATTTCTATGATCAACAGTAATGCATCAGCCAGTTATAAAGGTTTCCATAGGGATTAAAAGTACCGATTTAAGTAGCGTTCTCACCAGCATCCCGG